AGCTCATTTTCTTGAAATAGACATTCGTGAGGGTGATATGGAGTTGTCTCCTGCATATTTAGACAATAACTCTAAGGCTTCGTACCAGTTTGTCGAGAAGCCTGAATCACCTCTCTTATATCGCTTAATTTTTGATAAACGACGTGTTTTCCGTATTACTCTCCCTGCTCCTGCCTTCTTTGATTCACAGACAAAAGGAAGATATGTTATTACCAGAGAGGAGGCAGAAGAGTACGAGAGGAGAGCGGAGGTAGCCCGACTCCACGCTGCAGCTCAGCAGGAGATAACCGCTGCACAACAGTATGATCCCAACTATTCCTCCTCATCACAGTACGACCCCAACAACTATTATTATGGATATCCGCCAGGCCAGCCGTGGCCATAGACCAACTTAGGCCAAAAGCCTAAGCTTGGGGGAGTACGTATTTCTCGCCGACATTACATTTATGCTCACACACACTCATTGTAGATGTCAGTGCTCATACTTTTTCACTGTAATATCCATGCTAGTTTATTTTCTTTTTCCTGCTTTCTTCTTGTGTGATTGTTAAACCTTAAGAAAAACCGAAAAAATAGTAGTAGTTTATTTTTCTGCTGTAGTAGTAATAATTAAAAAGAAAACCCAAAAATATTTCCCGTTCTTCTTTTGCTTGTTGGGAGCTTTCCCGTGTAAATAGTTTTATTTCTTTTCTTTTCTTTGGGGGTCAGTAGGAGAAGACCATAATTAAATTGTTGAAGTGGCTCTTATATGCATCATTGTTGATTTAACCAAGAGCCCATATTGCCTTGTCTTCTCCTGTTTATTGAATGCTCGCAGATTCCAGCTTAGTCCAATGCACGTACACTCTTATTATTATTCACACCGTTCGGTCGTGCAAGTGAAAGGCAATTATGATGATATATGATGGACTGACTGAGATGAGAAAAGATGGTATGAACTCGACCTCTTTTGTTTTTGTAAATATGATGAGTCCCTCGTTCTTGATTCAGCCTATTATGAATAAACATGTTTGCAATGACAATTAGAGATCATAGTTGCTTGTGTCATAATAAAAGTGATGAGGCCTGTGATGACCCAGTTGTGTTGTGGCACGCGGTATAGCTCGAAGTAGGTGGTGCAGCGGTCCAGCCAGATGCGCGGGGCGTCGCCGTCGAACCGCGGGAAATCGTGCTTGGGCGGCTTGATGTAGTGGTCGCCGTGGCGGTCAAGCTCCTAGGACGATGGTGACCACGCGGTGAGTAGCGGCGGACCGTGGTTGACGAGGCGGGCAAACGGAAGCTGTGCTGCACCGTCGGTGTAGAAGGGCAGCGGCAGAGGGCGACTCGGTGGTGGCGGTGGTGGTGGTGGAGGTGGTGGACGGTGTGCAGAGGAGTCCCCGGTGGCCGTGACGCCCGATGGAGATGCGGCGCCGGAGACGGTCGCCGCGGGATCCACGGTCGGTGCAGCCTTGCGGGCCTCGTCCACATCGGCTTGCGTGAGGTTGATCTTCTTGGACAGGAGCTTGAGCTCGACGGAGACTTGGTCGTTGTAGGAGAGCTGCGTCTGGTGGCGTTCGTCCGCGGTCTTCTGGCTCGCGTCCAGCCGGCGAATCACCGTCTCGAGCAGGCTCTGAAGCTTGTCGATGGTCTCCGTCATGGCGTCCAGGACACGGCGAGTCTGCGCCGAGGGTTTGGATGGCAGCGCCGTCATCTCGCTCCGAATCGATCCGAACCCCGAGAAGGATTTTGGGCGAGTTTGCCGGAGCGGCTCGCACCTGGCTTAGTGGATGTTACCGGACGATCAAGAGGATAGGAGAGCGGCGGCGCGGCGTGGATCGAGAAAAAAAATTGACTCTGAATACCAGATTGTAATGCCCTAGATCTCGATCTAGAATTTGGGGAGGAGGAGAGAAGGGAGCAGGTGAGGAGCGAGGTGGGGGAGAGAGTGTTTAATTCAGATTATATTTCCTTCCTGCCCAATCCATCGGTCTGGGTAACTCTGAACTTGCACTTGTTCAGTCCGCTGCGTATGTTGACTAAGGGCATATGCAGGCGCGACAGGAGCGGAGGCCTTGGAGCCATCCTCCTCCTTGTTCGCCATCATTGAGCGAACTGGAGAGTAGGGCCAGCTCTGGGCAATTGCCAATCTCCAATTCCTGCAGCTGGGGAGGCAAGAGCAGAAGTCCTTCTCCTAATGCTGTTGCTATTTCCTCCTCTTCTCTTGTCTGTTGTTGCTGCTGCTGCTCAATTTGTGCTTGCTCCGCTTTATTATCTGAAGATGATGCAGTTCTTGTCGTCTCCTGCTGCTCCATCACACCAACCATTGTTATCTTCTCACAATAGGATATTTCCAACTTGCTGAGATTCATGAAGTGAGTGAGCAACTGTGTCAACTCCTTCCCGGTAGCACCACACCGCCAAATATGCAGGGTATCAATTGGTAACTGGTACATGACATCACTCAGTGGCAAAAAAATATCCGAACGATATATTTTGAGAATCTTCAGAGATGTTAGCATTTGGAGGTGATCTAATGGCAGAGGAGGGCATTTACTCATCTCCAGCTCTTCAAGATCAGTTAAATTACGCAATGCCAGCACATTCCAGAACTTGCTATCGCTTAGACCACCCTCCTTCCCCTTGACACTCAATGTCGATCTAGACTTCTCACTATAATAACTCAGCTCCTCAAAACACGATCCAGCTCGTGCTATCGTGGCAGAGCATGGATCACGAGTCCAAGGAACAGGGGGCAATATCAATAGCTTTGGGCAGTCTTCAATCTCTAGCTTCCGTAATCTAGGGAACCAAGTCATGTTTGCCTCTTGCTTTGATTTACAGCCTAGAAACGGCAGCTCCAAGAGTTCAGCGCAAACTTTAACAATGAGCACTTCTAGGTGAGAGAACAAATGACAAGTGCTATTTCCAACGCATTTTCTCAACCTTGGTATCTTAACCAATTTTAGCTTTTTCAAATTTTGAAAGCTCTGGCTTGGGATACCACTCAGATGCTCTTCACCAAGCTCATTAGCAAACCACAACTCCCCTAGAGGTGGAAAATTGCTCCAAGCAACATCAACCAGACAAAGAGATTCCAATATTTTAACTAAGAGGTTCTCACCTAACCATGAAGGGCAAGTAGCACCTCCATGCCCTCCAATGTGTAGATCTACAAGACTGCTATGGGGCTTAAGATTTTCAAGAACATGATCTTCTTGTGCAGGATCCTTATTATGTCGATCAATACCCCATTGTAACATTAGCTTCTGTAAGTTGATTTTGTGCATCAGTTTAGCTTCATTTGCCTCTTTCTGTCGCTCAACATTCTCAATGCCATGAATTCTCAGTGACTCACCAAACTCTGCCAACCGACCAATCTGCCTAAATTCAAAACTATATTTTCCTTTTTAACCATAAAGCTTCTTAAGTCTTGAAGTAATTCCAGTTTTCCCACACCAAAAGTTCTAGTTCTATACTGAAGGTCCCTGTCCCGGACAAGAAAATGGCGAACATTTATAAGGTTGCTCATATCTCTTGGAAAATCAAGATGGACACTGTTTTTGTCAAAATCTATAACTCTCAGGTGATACAATCTTGAGATGTTTCTGTTCAGTCTTGCAGAAGGTGTTATCCTCAGGTAGCGAAGATGGACAAGTCTCGGAAGGTTGTGTAAAACATCCTCCACAATATACCTATAATATGCCCCAGATAAAAGAATAACACGAAGAGATTTTGCTTCTGCAAACAAAGCACCAAAACTCTTGGCAAAGCATCCTTGGTATTCTCCAAATAACATCAAAGTTTTTAGGTTTTCAACTTTCAATTTTTCACCCAATGAACTTAAATCCCTCTTAAAATCTTCAAAAGCCAATCTATCATTGACATCTCCGTCATCTATAATGATAGACAAGTGGCGTACAGATGGAGGAGATTGTATATATTTCACATTAGAACTACACATGCTAAGACACTCTGATGAGGAAACCTTCACTGCTAACTCATGCAGTAGGTCATGCATAACATAACAAGAACTGCCATCTTCTTTTTCATTTTTCTTGAAAAATCCACAATTAACCAAGTCATTTAAATAGCACAGCCCAACATCTTCAAGTCTTTTCCTCTGATCACATGAATCTAAAATATCCAGCCCTATCCATAATTGAACCAACTCTTTGCTCATAATCTTCAAGAAACAAAGCACCATAGGAAAAACATTGTTGCAGATGGAAAGGGAGATAATCATAACTAAGCTTTAGAGCTGGCATAATGTCATAGTCGCTGGTTTGTAACTCCCATTCTTTGCTTTCAAGAACACTTGTCCAACTGTCCAATGTAAGTTGGTTTCTTAGTAATCTACCTACAGTTTTTGCTGCAAGAGGGAAACCCTTCAGATGCCCCACTATTGCTCTTCCAACATCAAGTAATTCAGGATAGTCTTTCCATGGCTGTTGGTGACCAAATATATATGCTTCAAACAAATGCATAAAATCTTCAGTTCCTAAGCGATTGAGTTCTATTGAATAATCCACTGTTTTTACCATTGTTACTGCCTCTAGGATTCGAGTTGTGACAATAACCATGTTACCTCTTGCCTCTCCTTTTCTGAACGGAGCTAACAGTTTTTTCCACTCATCCTCGTGATATGTCCACACATCATCCAAGACTAGCAAGAACCTCTTATGCTTTAATCTATGTTCGATGAGTTCTTCTTCACTAGCATTCTCTTTTTCATCATTAACTTTGGGGATATTTTTCACAATCTCTTGTGTCAACCTATTTGCATCAAAATTAAGAGAAACACATAACCAAATCATAATATCAAACAAGCTATTCACCTCTTGATATACGTGTAGTGTGAAAGTCGTCTTTCCAATACCCCCTGGGCCAACAATTTGAAGCACGGTAAGTCCATTGGCATAATATTTTCCATGGGTAATGTCATCCACAATGTTCTTTTTCTGAACATTCCTCCCGAATAACTCTGGCTCTATTATTGCTGACGTGGTTTTGGGTCTGTTGCCTTAGGCAGGTTTGAGGTTCCGAAGCTCTAGATCAAGGATTTCCTTCACCTTAGCACATATAGGATCCAGCTGCTGTACAATGTCTGCCATCCTTTTAGACATATCCACACGATCAAACTTCAATTTTGGTGTCTGCTTGTTGCCGCCCGAGGAGAACTTGAATTTGTTGGCAACAGCTCTGGCAGTGTGCCGCGCGTTCAGAGCGAGGCCATGGGTGCAGCCACCGGCATGCTTATCAGCTGCATGGTAGGTGCTGTCGAGCTTGTCCTGGATGCGGAAGTAGTCCAGTTCATCAAGCACGTCTTCGGCCCCGTCCGCCAGCTGCCGCAACATGTGCAACAGGTCCTGGAGCGCAGGGTTGGTGATCTCCCTGTCATGCGCGTTATAGAGGATCCCCTGTGCGCGCAGCAGCTCCATCTTGAGGGCGGTGATGTTGGGGCCGAGACTGTCGCTGGCCGCCCAATCCTTGAGAAAGTCATCCGTAACGGGAGCCAGCGCCTTGCGCAGTGCCCACACTGCCGCACTGATAGCGGTGGCCATCCTCACGCTGCTGGTGAGTGTGTTGAGATGCTGCAAGCTGCACGCATCAATAGGAATGTTCTTGCAGTTAGTCACTACCAAATAGCAAAGGGGGAAAAGAAGCAGCAGCAACACTACTGGTAATGTCGCTGCCTGAGGCCAGAGGAACAGAATGGTTCACTTACACAAGGGTTGGGCCTTCAGATCTTGCGGAAGAATGCCGGAGAGGTGCGGCTGGACAGAATCAAAGAGGATGGAATACCAGCCTTCAGCCCCCGCTTTTACAAGCTGCAAAACCCATCTGCATCTGGAGGCAGAGCAACCAAGTTCAGTACACTACACATCTCTGTGAAGGGGAATACGTTATACATCTAGATTCTAGTCACAGTGTACGTACCTGCTGCTCCTGCACAAAGATGATTGGCGTCGGGAGCCGCTGCGCCGGCACAGGTGGGGGGAGCAAACTACAGGAGGAGAGCAGCGGCGGTGACGAACGGAATCAGGGGAGCTGAGCAGGTTGGCCAATGGAGTGAAGTTGGCTGTGTCTGGAAGAGAAGTGCATCGCTGCACCGAGCGACAGATGCACCCAACGCATCTACGGTGGGCAGAGCGTCGCGATGCGGGGCGAGCTGCCTTGCTACTTGGCGTATATAGAGAAACGGGAGAGCGGCATGGTTCGTATTCATGTATTTAGATGGACCAACCTGACAGATCAGTCTGACAAGCCGCTGCTCGTATGATTGTACATCGCAGGGAGGAGGACGGAATACTACCGTTGCATGAGACACTGTATAACGTATAGGCCTCTTTTGGTTCATAGGATAGGATTATCATAGGAATAGTAATCTTGTAGGAAATGAGATGACATGTATCTCAAATTCTATGAGTAGGAATAAGAAACAAGATGTCATTTGGTTGACACCAAAGGAATTTTTCCATTGAGTCTAGGCTTTTTTTATTTTCCTATGAAATATGGAGGATAGGAGCCAATCCTATGTAGGAATAGGAATCCATTCCTATGAACCAAAGTGCTCTAAAGGAAAAAATCCTATAAGAATCATATCCTCTAGAATTCCTATGAAATTCCTCTAAACCAAAGGAGGCCACACATTTCTTGGCTTCAATGTATTTAAAGACCATGCAATTGCTGGACAGGAACCAGCGAGCACACGGCCTCAGTCAAGCATGCACAAACATCTCTCACTCCCATCCACCCCCCGCCACTGTGCCAAGATGTCGAGCAGTTCATCGTCGGCGCGGCATCTCCGGGCACCTCCCCCACTGCTGCCATTGATCATGTGCCCAAGGTGCACTGGGACGAGGACCAGGTGGTTCGTGTCCGGGACGGATCGTAACCCGGGCATCCGGTTCTACAAGTGCCCGAACCAGGCAGTAAGTATCACAGAACGCACATGCAGCAGGAGATTACTCCACTGTTTTTGTTCCCTGATCAGTTTTGTAACCACGCGCAGGACGGAGGCCCCTGTGATTTTTGGCTGTGGGTGGACCAATACGCATTCTACATCACCGGGGTTGGCATTAACCTACTCATCAAGGCCGCCGGAGGAGGGAGCAACGTCATGTTCGGAATGGGCCGCGCCATGGACGACATATGCAACGTGGTGAGGAACACCATGATGATCTGCTTGCTAATGCTCTTCGTGGTGCTTGCCAGGTCAGCCGGTGGGCAGTACTGAGCAGTGTGGCGTACCAGATGCCATGACGGAGCGCGACCTGATCAAGATTTTTAATTTCTTCTCCCTGACAGCATGGGTTATGTAGTTTACTAGGTTTGACTAAGGCCATAGTACGGTGCAGTCCAAACATTTGTAATCTCGCACGGCAAATAAATTCATATGTAGCTAATGATCACCTGTGCGGCGTGCACCACACGCATCAGCCAAGACATGCAGAGACAAAAATTCCAACGCTCCCACCGGCAAAAAGCGAACCCACGGGTGCGTAGGGGGGGCAAGTGCTACACGCAGTAGAACCCAACCCCCAACCCCCAACCACGTTATGCCGTAGAGAGTTAAGATGTTGTACCCACACGCCACGCACCCCTCGCACGCGCACAGACACAACAGATCGAAAGCAGTATCCATTAGCAAAACAGAGAAATGAGGGTCTCGCCGGCAGATTCAGGCGACGGAGCAGCCGGGGGTTCGCCGCGCAGCGAGGTAAGTTCTGAACCACATCTCCGAGGTCGTCAGCACAACAATCAAACTATAGCTGAAACATCTCCCCCCGTGCCTTCTCCCCTGCAGGTTTTCGCACAGATCGATGGAAGAAGGAGAACAACAAGTCAGACAGCAGATCCAGACCCCGCCCACAATGGAAAGAGATGGAGAAGAAATAGAAGTAGCAGCTCCGTTGGGATCGACAAGCAGGTCCACTAAACACACATCTAGGATAGCTATTCAGAAAGTAACAGAGGTCGTTGCTGCATTATCGGATTACAAAAGATTCCTTGTTGAGGAGATTGGCTTCGAGGGTGTACTGCGTATCCCCATGATTCAGAAAATCAATCTCAAGTTCAGCAAGTTCCTCATGACCAAGGTGGATGTGAAAGAGCATTGCATCATCCTGAGAGACGGTGGAACGCCAATTACTTTTTATCCAGAGGATTTCCACAAAGTGTTTGGCATCCCATGTGGTCAACGAGACATCCATGGGAAAGATGCAGACATCACATTTGAAGCAATCGAGTTCATCAGGAACTCTATAGGGTGGACAGAGAAATCTGATCGCAGCTTAAGTTCGCTTGAAGTGTTCATCGGCAAGGAAATAAACGAACTATCCAGCCGTCTAGAAAAGGATTCCTTCAAGATGGCGTTTGTTGCGTTTGTGATGGGCAGTCTGTTCGCACCGTGCACCAAACATGATCACTCAACCATCGACTACTGGGGCGCCATCAAGGATGCGGAAAACATCTCCCTCTTCAATTGGTGCAAATATTCATTCAATTTTTTACTAGAAGCAGTCTGCAAACTGAAGTTGGAAACACATGCAAACATAACACCCAACCACCTCTCTGGGTGTCACCTTTTCTTTCAGGTAAATCCATCAAAATCACAGTTGGATAGGCCAAATTCACTAAAATAAAACCCCCAAAGTTACAGAATGCTCTTTTTGGCGATTTGTTTGAAGCTCTGCACTAACATAATCAACATGTGCTTTTCATGTCGACAGGTGTTCGTGCTAGATAATGTCGAACTGGGCATGATGAACTTGAAGCAAACGACAATGCCACGGATACAATTATTCGACGGGGAGACCCTGAAATGGATGATCCTCGTGTGCTCAGCAAGAAAGCTAGGGAGAACAATCTTCATAGTCCCTGAGGTAACAGCTATGTATGTTTAACCACAACTATGATAGCGCGACACATACTAAACTACGCGCAACCTTATGCAGGCAAGACACTGGAATGCCATGTGCTACACATGGCACAACTGGCTGAACGAGAAACATGGCAAGAAGAAAGCAATGGAGCACAAGGCTGAAGGCTCAGCAAATCAGTATGCACTCGTCAGTCATAACCCAGAGACCACTCGACGGGGAGAGTATACCAATGCGGACACAAGCAACCTTCCATAGACACATAAAAGCAGCATCAAATTCAGCCCCGGCGACTACGCTCGCTGGATCCAGATGCAAAACCCAGAGCTGGTGAGACACAATCCACACTCACACATACCAAAGACAAAAAAAATCTTTGTTTTAGACTGGGATTGGTGCGGGCCACCTCCACACAACAACCTAACATCTGCCTACATTTTGCAGGCCGCTTCTCCATTAGGATGGGCACTTAAAGAGCACAACGCAAAGTGTGTGCATATCGCAAATGAAATGAGAAGGAACATTGCAAATGAGAACATTCAATTCACAAAAAAACTGCTATAGGTGTACATTGTCAAACCAAATTTGACAACACCCG